TTTTTTCACCTCCATGAATATAATCCACATCCTTGAGGTAATACTCAGAACTTTAAATCTCCAGGAGCAGTGCCATAGGTCCCTCAGGGCTTGCAGGTACAGCAGCCCCTCTTGCTTTTTACTCACGTGGATTATACTCCAGAAACACCACTGCATGGGCACAGGCTCAGAGAGGATTTTGTAGGTCAGCCTTTCCTACTGTCACTAGGGGGCTAAAGATCTCCACTGTGTCTGAGCAAAGATAATGAGGTATGAAACCATCCTGTATCCTTCCTAAAGGCAGCCCAGTAGTCTTCTTACTATGGCAAATGTCCCTTTTCCTCTTACTTCTGCCACAACTCTCCCAGGTCATAGAATTGATTGCCAGCTCCCCACACACACGATGCTCCTGCACCAGTTAAGCTCTTCCACAAGTTTTTGGGGAGCAGGAGGGAAGGATCAGCCTTCTGATCTCTTCATGCTTTACTGTAAAAGGAAGCAAGTTTGAATGAGGTTGCCAGACAATTAACACACAGCCATCGACTCCCACCTTTGCACTTCATCCTTGGGTGTTAAATGAGGCAGATCAGCAAGGTCACAGAATTCGAGCAGACATTCTACACTGCTAAGACATGACAGCCTGCAATGGCCATAGCTTGGAGACAACACAGTCAACACCCACCACTTTTTTTAAACTTAAATGAGCTCAGCTGAGCTATACCTGGCAGGATCTGCAAGAAAGGCAACGCCCCTTTTGGTCAGAGGAGTTGGAACAGTCCTTCTGTGTAGGAAAAGGCTGCAGAGCATGGTGCAAAAACCTGGTCAGCAATGGGGAAATTCCTACAGGGACTGGTACACAAAGGTATTGAGGGAGGATTCCGTTACTATAACCAGACACTGCCAAAATCCTAACATCCTAATCCAGCAGAAATCCCTCCAGGAGGGCTGCTGCAATTGCTATGGCCAGGGAACACTCCTGGTTGGAGGGGAAGAAGATACTGCTCTAAGCAAAAGCAGGGCGAGCCAGGTCTGCTTTATCCTAAGAGCAAAGCAGATTCTTCTCCACAGGTAAGAAAACAAGAGTCACCAACCATGTACCCCACACAGTTTGACTCTGGGCTCTCATTTCAGGAGACACAGAATCACAAAATTGTAGAATCATCTAGGCTGGGAAACACCTTGAAGATCATCTAGTTCAGCCATTAACCTAAGAGACCTAAACCAGGGGAGTTCTCTCCAAGACAATCTTTTGGGGAGCAATTTTCCTGCCATTCAAACACAGATACTAAACATGCTCTGTTAAAAGGCACAGTGCACTGCCCGTGTAATGTATTCCAGAACATATGTAAAAAGCCTCATTTTTCCAAAGACAACTGTTTTATTTACAAGGCCTCAGTTGTTATCCCAACTTTTCTACACGGAGTAGCAGTCACTGGAAGGGAGTTGCCTAGATTAATGCAGCAAAAGCCCGCTTCCTGCAGACTCAAAATTATGCTCTTCCCTTGTACATATATATCAGTCACCATCCCATCCTTATGGTGATTTTCACCCGGTACCAGCAGCCCAGAGAGCCCACAGATGTTGCACTGAATCTGCCCTTGCCCCAATCCCAGCTCAGGGCCTCAGAGAACTTTAGGTTCCATTAACCAGACCATTCACCACCAGAAGCTGCAACCATCAAACTCTCCTGTACCTGCAGCACTCAAAATGTCCCCATGAGTCCCTCCCCTGCTGATGCTCATGCTGCTGTGCAAGAGCCTGCTTTAGAAAACGCCAAGACACTCTCATGCTGCTGTGCCAGGAGCCTGGAGTTCAAAAGTCACAAGCAGCACCTCGGAGCAGAGTTCACTAACACTTTATTATTGCTCCATCATGGACTTCCCTGCACTGCCCAGCAGCTCCAAATGAGCCCTCCATGGCCGTGAAAGTGTCACAAGACCACCGAGGTTTCATTAATATTCATGTCCCATTGACACTCAAGCAAGCAATGAAAAGCTTGCTTTCTACAGCAGATCATTAAGCGGGGAGGGGGGGGAAATGAGTGACCTCTTAAGGTCAGCTGCGTCACAGATGTCACCAGGAGCTGAAGGGACAGAGACAGGGTCATCACCCAGCAATTCTTTTAATAAATAACAGTTCTAAATGAGCATGGCCTTGCCATGCCTAGTGGGACCCACTGAAACTGAAAGCATCTGGGAAGCAGATGCCCAAACTGCAATGCCAGGCATGGCAGTGCCTCCTCTCAGCAACCCTGCCCAGGAGCGGCTGGGCAACAGGATGCTGATGGGTGGCAGGGAAGCAACATCTCACCAGCATCTCCAGGTGTGTAAGTCTGAAATAAATCATGGTGATTTGTGCACAGTTAGCCCAGCTCAGTGGGAACACACTCACCTCCCTCTACAAGCTGGTAGCCTTTAGGAGCTTCCCAGGGCTTCCTCGAAGCATCCCAGCTGAGGGTATTTAGCAGAGAGCTACCTCCAGGCAGCAGTTACAACAATACATGTAGCAGAAAGTAGCAAAGACTCGATCTCAGATTACAAACCCTAATTGCTGCTATCAGTCAGAGTAACAATTAGCATCAGTTTAATGCATTTCCAGTGCTCTCAGGAGAGGATGGGGAAGGAAAAGGGAGTCTTAGTCCCAGTTCAACTTGAGTTCACTGGGAGGCCACAAAAAAACAACTCACAGGCAAACTTCCCAGGCACCTAGTTTCCCCAGGATATTCACCAACTCTGAAACACCTAAAGCAGCATGTGGGGAAAAAAAAAAAGCACAAGCTCCTCCACCAGCCCTCCTAGGCCAAGGAGACAGCTGCACTACCTCTGCATTTCCACAGAGAGAAGCTAATGGAAGATCGAATCGCACTGAAAATGAGATGCCCTCCCTGATGTGAGAAGCCACCATCACCCACTGCCTCTCTTTTATTTTTAGCTCCTTCCTTGAAGCCTGACACCTAGCTCCTATGCATCGGGTGTACACCAGACAAGGTTGATTATGCCTCTCAACTCTTTTACGACTCATGATCTCCACATCCCCATGGTACCAAGACTAAAAAGTGCAACCAGCTACATGCAAGCAAGAAAACTCCTGTACCCCCACTCTCCTGGCTGCACACTGAGCTGCCTCTCCCAAGGACTACCTCAGAAAAACTTTGCCACCTGACTCCTTACAACCTCAGGGGGCTCAAGAGTGGAGTCAGAAATTAAAGATGTGAGGAGTGATCCCAAAACCACAAGATTTATCTCCAAAAGTATTTGCTAGATCTGCAACTTAAACAATCAAGAAGTCCGCTACATTTATAATTTTCCTCCAGAAAGGAGTTTGCCTGATGAACAGGGCAGACCATGTTCAGTGTCAGAAAAGTGGAATGCTTAAGGCCCAAGGTAAGAGCTTTGAGTACTGCTCAGGTCCTTAAAATCAATTCAAAATACTGAAGGACAGCAAAAAGCCCTTACAAAGCCATGGTGGCAACATACTGACCTACACAAAGGGTTACCTCCCCGAACACTACTGCCCACACCATCCTGCAGCTGGCACTGAGGTACACGAAGGTATATGGGTGCAGGGCTACTGGACACAGAGCTGTGAGGCCACCGCCCCAGTGCAGGCCAGGGGTGCCTCCCCACGCTGAGAGAGACAGAAACATCCCAGGACCAGGAGCCCCATTCCCAGAAAATCTGCTGGAATCACGTGCTGCAATCAGCCAGACTCACCCCAGCGCAGCATCCTGGGCTCGGCCAGTTGATTCCACCAGCGCAGCCCTGCGAGCCAAACCCGGAGGCATCTGGCCCCGGAAAGAGGGAGAGCCAGATGAGTCGTGCTCTGGATGCTCGTTTGCAGCGTCTGGCCCAGCCAGGCTCCTCGAGTTTGCAGCAGCCTCGATAGTCTTCTTAAAAAAAAAAAAAAAAAAAAAAAAAAAAAAAAAAAAAAAAAGCAAAGAGCCACAGCGGTACAGAAGCTCACATTTTTGGAGGTGTTTTAAACAAAGTCACCTGCATGCTTGCCTCCAGCCCTTGCAGCACCTCCCCAGGCCTGCTGAAGTCAGCATGGACCTGTCACGAGCAGGTCACGGCCCCATAGCCACCAGTGGGCCTCAGCCCCGCAGCCTGCTGCAAACAGGCCTTGGCCCCTGCCTGTCACGATGGAGCCAAGCCACACGGCCTGCTGCAAGCAGGGTTTGGCCCCATAGCTGGTCACAAGTGGGCGCCAGCCCCAAAGCCTATCACAGGCAGGTCATGGCTCCACAGTTTGTCCTGAGTAGGTCCAACACTGCAGCCCATCACAGGCAGGTTTTGGCCCCACAGCCACAAGTGGGCCCCAACCCTACAGCCTGTCACAGGCAGGTCATAGCCCCACAGTCCATCACCCAGGTTTTGGCCCTACAGTACGTCACTAGTGGGCCCCAACCCCAGGTTTCTGTCATACAGCCTGTCACGAGTGGGCCCCAAATCCACAGGCAGGTCATAGCTCCATAGTGCATCACCCAGGTTTTGGCCCCACAGTCCATCACTAGTGGGCCCCAACCCCAGGTTTCAGCCCCACTGCTTGTCATGAGTGGGCCCCAACCCCACAGCTGGTCATAGCCCCATAGTGCATCACCCAGGTTTCATCCCTGCAGCCTGTCACGGGTGGGCCCCAAGCCCACAGCCTATCACAGGCAGGTCATGGCCCCACCTGCGTGACAAAAGGGTGCCCAGCCCCATAGCCTGTCACTAGCGGGCCCGGGCCCCGCGACCCTACCAGCCCCAGCGCACCCGTAGCGGGGCGGGAGGCGCCACCGGGCGCTCAAGCCGCACTTTTACCTCCCC